ATCCTAATTACAAGGTGACACAAAATTTCTGTACACTCGGTTATCTCAACTTTTTATAACCATTTTTAAAGAACTCACAAATGGGGACAACGCTATTAGAAACTACAACCATTTCAACAGATAATGCTCGCAAATTCATTCAAAATGACCACCTTTGCTGTAACACAATCGCGAAGTCTCTTTCGGAATGCATCGACTGCGGCACGCAGGGTTTCCTGGGGGATTTTAGTCCTGTTGGAAAGTCCATTTGCGGTTTCCGAAGTGCTTTTTGGCCCAGGGCATTACAGTATCCTCCAGGATAAGGTCACGATAGGCAGTCGCATCGATCTTCATGCCAGATGGCACAAAAACCAGGGGCGTGCCCCCCTCTGCAGTGAAACCCGCCCACACCATTACAGAAGCTGGCATCTGTGTTCGAGAGACACGTCGGAGGTCTTGAGAGATACCTGACGACTCTGCTGCCCATACTCGATGATTTTGAGAGTTAAATGATTGCTCGATCATGAAGAGCTTCTCGTCAGAAAAGAGGATATTGTAATGGCAGCCATCTGCGAACCGACGGAGAAGGGCCTGCGATCGTTGCAGCCAAGTTTTCTTCACTTGCTCCGTGAGATGTTGAGCTTTTTGGAGTTTGAAAGGCTGAAGATTCAGCTTGCTCTTGACAATTCGCCGGAGCGATTCGCGATTTATCTTAGTCGTTTGGGCCATTTTTCTCAGCGATTAAAAGAGGATATTGCGATGGCAGCCATCTGCGAACCGACGGAGAAGGGCCTGCGATCGTTGCAGCCTAGTTTTCTTCGCTTGCTCCGTGAGATGTTGAGCGTTTTGGAGTTTGAAAGGCCGAAGATTCAGCTTGCTCTTGACAATTCGCCGGAGCGATTCGCGATTTATCTTAGTCGTTTGGGCCATTTTTCTCAGCGATTGCTTGGGATTTCGACGAAGCCGAGATCTAACCCTTTTGATGTTGGCAGTGGTTGACACAGACTTCGGTCGACCTGATCGATGACGATCTTCTGTAGAGTTTGTCTCAAGGAACCGCTGAATTGTACGTTTGATGAAGTTCCGGTTGTAGCCATTGTTCTGGAGCAGTCGGAAAATCTCGGTGGGNGACACAGACTTCGGTCGACCTGATCGATGACGATCTTCTGTAGAGTTTGTCTCAAGGAACCGCTGAATTGTACGTTTGATGAAGTTCCGGTTGTAGCCATTGTTCTGGAGCAGTCGGAAAATCTCGGAGGGAGACTTCCCAGCTTCGTGCAAACTGATCACAGCCGACCGACGATCTTCATTGGACAATGGCATGACGAAACTGATAGTTTCATCAGCACTTTGAGAATCCCCTAAGTCGCGCGTACCTTAAGCTACGTGTAGAAACCAAGCCAAGCATATATGAACGTGGTAGCTTAGAATCGAGAACAGTTTTTAAAGTGTACAGAACTTTTGTGTCACCCTGTATAATCTATCGGCATAATCACTAATGGAGTGGTCAACTTTACCCGTGTCGGGGTCAAGCGATCCTAGCGCCACCTCTGGGCCATTCCGCATACGACTCACATTTGTGTCCGCGATATTAATTTAAACCAGGTCTGAATCTCCCTCTCTAGCTCTACTGCACAATGGAGTATAGGAGAGAAAAGCAAGCGGGAATTTTGCAGGCCGATTAACTCTCGATTGAATAATAACGCAATTTGAACTTTAATCTTTCGATAAGTATAATTACATTGCAGGCCCTAATGCTTTCTTCTGTTCCAATAGCTCATGCATTATTCGGTTCAAGGGAACAGCTAACACATCCTTGGCTAAGAGCCATGCAAACGTAAGCAAGGGGGCATAATGCAAAATGAAATGGAATGTGTTTTTGTCCATATAAGCCAGCAGGGATATGAACCCTTCTATTTTCAGACAATTTCATTTCCGTCTTTGCTTGAGACGTTTCCGAATTCAGAAAGCCTTGCATGACATAACGTGTCGAGGGAGCAAAGCGAGTAGGAATCGGAATAAAAATTTTCTTAGGTTTTTGCCTTGCCATCGATTTCATTTGAAAGTGACCGTTATTTGTACTGCTTTGTGACGAAATGGTGCATCGCATGGAACAAATAGGGCACTATTCATAATCTGCGACTCAACATCTTTCTTATGATTGGTTTCAACATTCATGAGAAATATATTGAGTTGCATTGGTAGAGAAAGATGATGAGAAATATTTGACTGGACTGACCTCCGAAGTCGCCCAGGAGTGGCTACCCCAGTCGGGGGGGGGGGGGGGAGAAGAAAGAAACGTAATGAAATTCACATTTAAGTAATAAAAAAAATGTTCAGTGTTATCCACATTTCCCGGGATATAGAGCTTCAAATTTGCTGGAGTGATTTTGTGCTGATAGAGGAAGAAACATGCTCAATTTCGTTTTTGTTGATTCTCTCAGTGAATTATACGAGGATTTTAAATTTTGTTATGGGAGAGGGTTGAAGAAAGGTAAGAGGCGTCCAATGGATGTCCGAAATTTAGAGCAATTAAGAAACAGTTCAAATTACAGTATGCGTTCCTTGAACGACGCGAACTCAACAAGGACGGGAAATGGATATTGCCAAGAATTTCAAGATCAATGAGTTTACCTTTGTCAAGATTTTCATCCAATAAGCAATTAACTTCTTGGATACGATGGTTTCGTCACTTTAAGATAGGAAGGAACTCAAAAATTGAGTTCCTGGGATTTGAAATTTGGCTTATAATTATTGTAGAGAGCCTCAAGAGGAGTGGAAGAAGGGGTCTCACAGTGACCTCGGACCAACAGTTTAGCTGAAGTTCGTTCTTAAAGCTACCGCCAGATGGCTATATGCTGGGTTATACTAAAATCGCCATAACTCCCAAACGATTTCCTTCCGTAACGTGGAATCAACGCAACCGTTCGGCTGAGACATTTCTCTCTGATTTTAATATCAGCAATACGACCTTGCGTATACTTACGATACGAACTTGCTTCCTGCAGCTGCACGAGTGAATACCCTTCTTGTGTCGCCTTTGGTATGAACATTTGTATAGACCGTAATACTTGTTTTTTTTTCATATCTTATTAAGCAAGAGGAATTCTCACCCTTATTCGGTAAATCGTGCCATTCCTTGTGACTCTTTCATCTGCGCAGTTCCAACCAAAATTGCCTGGGAAGCCACTTTTGCAGAAGTGCAATGAAGCAACAGTCTCGTCCGTTGGATTACTGCGACGTTAGGGCAACACACTCCCTCGTAGCCGGTCATGAACGCGAGTAAGTGATTTTCGCAGTTGGGCACTCCATAATGAGTCTGCGTTTTCCTTCCTAGTTTTCCTCTTGGCATATGCCAGCTCCTTTCTCTCAACATCCTACCCTACCCACTTAATAGCCTATTCAATACCCCATATCACATTCTATACCAATATAAATACCGCATTCATTACTATTCAATACCCAATTCCATATACAATCCTGGACCTCAATTACGCTTCCTCTCATCCCCTTCACTCCTTTTTCCTTCCCGTCTTTGAGACAAAATCTCTCGAGAGCTGCCAAAGGCCATCGCGTTAAATCCAACTATCGTCAAGATTCAGTCTTAAGAAAGGCTTTGAAATGTGAATTTCAAAACGTCAAGAAACAGGGTGACCATTTCGAATGAATTCAGTTAAAATTCCTCTAGTGTTGGTCCCTTGGCACCTTCACTAACTTACCTTAATAATCCGTTAATGTGCATTCTTATTGCCCGTGAATAGTAATTTTGCTTGCTTTACCGTTCTGCGACACCTCGTCTACTTCTCCCCATGATTCCAGAAGTTAACAGGGAACCTCCTGAGAATGTTTCCTCACATTTCTTCGAGTGTAGCTCGGCTCTCGGGACAAGCAAATACATGTTTGCCGAAATCTTCAGATTAAGCTGTATTTGGTCCCCTTCCACTGAATAAAGCGACGGGGCTGGTTCCAGTTAGGGACATAAAAGTACCAAGAGAACGCCCACCCCATAATTATATAGAACTAGCCGTCTGTGGCAGGAATGGCGGCCTTCGGACTAACTACCTATAATTTTTTGTCATGTCTCATCAACTAAGTATAGTGTAGGACAGATTCCATGCTGGCAAAATTGATCGACAGTAAACGATGAAATAAATTTACACCAAAGGGATGCTGAGGCACAGCGTGCTCGTACACCAGCCAGTTTGCACAAAATCTTACAATAATTTAGTTATACATGTGTAAAGTAAACAAATATAGAAGGAAACATGAAAATCGGGAAACACGACACAGATGGAAATTATAGCAGAAAGTTAAATTTCATACGAAGCAAAAATTTTCCTTACAAATCTATCTGCCAATAAAATAAATATATATACATTCAAAGTCCACGTTGTCGGTAATGGTGTCATCATCAGTTTTACCTTGCTGTAGCCTTACGATAACCTGAATCTTCAGCGAATCCTCAGAGGGAACTCGCGAGCAGGTAACGTACATTTGCCCACGCGTCAATTCTGGCTCCGGAAGTAGTAGTCCGACTCGATCGAAAGGCATGCGACTCCTTTATAGTCACACAATAGGCAGTTCTGTGGGAAATCGACGACATGTCGATTAATTATCCAGCATGTTGAGTCAATACTTCCGCATAGTCTTCAATTTCGAAGGTCGAAGGTGGAAACGGATCCAAATGAAGAAATTTGAGCTGATTTTAGACAATATAAGTGCACGGCCTCGAGTCCAGTTGGCAGTTTTCTCTCAGTGCATAACGTTGACCCGCTACGAATTCTGCACTTTCCGGCTGAATATTCACCCAGCTGCGCAAAAAGGTGATCCATTCCACGCACGTGCCGCAGATCAATTAAAATTGGAAATGCAGATTCCGGCGTAGGTGGCACCAGATCGCATTAAGCGTAATCGAATTCGCGATCTGGCGCTTTCGAGGTCCTTCACCTCGCTTTTCCGTGTCGGTGGCGCTAGCCGCTATAAGTAGCTCTGACGGAGTAGCTTTGCCGAAGAAACCTTGCCGGAGTAGCTTTGCTGAAGGAGCTTTGCCGGAGTAACTTTTCTCCCTGAAGATGAAGTTCCTGGTCCTGTTTTGGCTACTCGTCGCCACCGATTCCGTGAGTTCTCGTCGCCAATTTCTCTTTCTAATTGTATGCGCATCCGATGGAAATATTGCTATCGCATCACTGTCTCGTTTCGGCCTGGTGCCACTTAATAGAGTAATGGGTCATCTTCGTTTCGTCTTCAGGGAAAATCGCATAGGTTTTGTCCCCCGTAATTACGTGCGTTACTTCTTCTTAATGTTATATTAACACTTTTTTCTTACATTGTTTTCGTAAGGTTCTTCCCTTCGGACTTCCTTCCTAATCGAAGCCCGTTTTAAAAGCATTTACCTTTTCTCCGTCAATTGGCTTAGTAACGTAGTCCTTTGGGCTCGATGGGCTACCAGAACTGAAACAACTCGGCTTCACCTAGAAAGTGTCAGGAATGCTTTTCTGTGGTAGATGCATGTGGTCCACGGACAAATTTGCATGAACAAATGAAGAGACAGCTGAGAAGGCTTGGAGCTTATTGAACGGCTTATCCCTTTTCAAGGGATGAGACGCAGATCCTTCCGCAGATTCATTCTTAATGCATTTAAATTTTATGAAGGAGCCCTTTATCGTTTCCGTTGCGATCAGATTGTCTGGATTCTTTAGAATTTTTGCGCATAAATTAATACTTACCTAATTTTTTTAAATTTTACTTAAATATCAGAGATTGGTAATGATAACGTGCGAGTTATGCTTTAAATATTTATTCATCGGTGGTACCGATGAATGCAAAACGGTTCCCGTTGACAGCTACCAGCGAAGCGCGACTGGAAGGGCGACGAGGAGACCCCGTCGCGGAGGGAAGCGGGATCGCTGATGGATGTCGCCGAGAGCGGGAAGAAGGTCGCCGAGAGCAGGGAGGACGTCGCCTTCGACAGGTAGGATAACATTGGACTCCTCGACTTGGATAACTCCGATTTCTTACAGTTTGTCTCTCTATTGAAACTTGATGCAAAGAGGGAGGGAAAAAAAAAGATGTATCGTCAGAAAGTCTATGAAATCAGGTTGCGATATCGGAAGTTCGCAAGATTCTCGAATCGCTAAATTTCCCCCGCAAAAAATCCGGGGCGAGGTGACGAAGGAAGTAACGGCAATTATGCCATACGACTTTGACGTTGAGCGATCTGAATCGTTTGGCTAAGCGGCATTCGCGTTTCATTCCGAGGCTAGAACTCCTTGTGCATAGTGGCCACCTTCTAATGCGATTAATAGACTTGGTGAGTTTAAAAACCGGAACGTAAACTTTTGGTTCCGGAGGTAGTATGACTGAAATACTGATAAATTGAAAGTTCGCTATAATCTTGCTCTTGGCGTCAGTTTCGTTGTGGCAACTCATTATAGCAGAGGCCTTCTCTTCACCTTCTTTCGAACGCAGGCTGAAGGGGAACTTGACAGAAGAATCCATAAACGAAATCTACGACCGATTTTGCTTGGGGGTCGGCTGGAAGAGAAGCGAGGATCCAGCGGACGAGCTGAACAGGTTTTGCATCGGCATGGGGTGGAAGAGGAGCGGGGAGAATGCCCCGGAGTCGCAATGTCAGATTTCTAGCTTTTCCTGCTTCGCATTCGTATATTTTTTTTTGCAAGAAATGTATCATCATCCCTTGCAAATTGAGCAGACACGTTTAAAAATATTTTGGATCTACGGCAAATCGACGTAGATCTCTAGCGAAGTGAAAAGGTTAAATTTATAATTGAAATGTTTAATCTAACGTTAAAATTTTAAATTTAATTGGCAGACTTATTCTTCCACCTTCCTATTCTACCTTTCCATTGAAACAATAAAAGTAAAAAATAAAGAAATGGTTGGTCAGAAACCTGTTCCTTCTGTCGTGAAGCATGCCATTTTTAGCCATGGATCTTCTGCACGGTTCATGCATTTTCGACTTCCAATTTCAGGAACGGGGACGAAGAGTGGAGAAGGCTGGCGTCGTGGAGCCGCTTCCTTCCGGTTTCCAAAAAATAAATCTGACCAAAGTTAAGGGAATGCGTTTCATTTAGAACAGGCCTTAACAACGACGAAGGTGCCTGATATGTTTCTATACGACGAGCCGTGCCACGTGCATCGAATTTCGATGAATCCACCTGATAGCTGCAAGGAGTGATCGGGTTCCACCAGAAAAAGAGACCTTGCCCTTTCCCCCGCATTTCGAGATTCTCGTTCGGGCGAGGCAGATTGCAGATTGCAGATTGCGGTAATCGACAGAATCAGCCCACGACGAAAAAATTCAGAAACTCTCGTTTCCAGATTTCCCGTCGCGCCCGCAAAGTACGCGTTCAAGTTTGGTGAAACCCAGCCTATAATTCTTTGCTTCAATCGCTCATCAATCGAATGCTCATCATGTCGATCTCTCACAAGTTGGAGGAAGCACTGTGAAAGCAGAAAAAATTTCTGTGTTGAACTTATGGCAGAATCCCTGCCGCAGGGCTCTTCATTTTACCTGTACTCTCGTGAGTGACATTATGAAAGATCTCATGACTTTAATTCGCGGCTCTTCTCCAGGAATTTTCAAAATCAGAGTCCTATTTTTCATTCTCTCATGTGAAACAAAGTTTCACCACTTTGACTGTGGCTCAAAAGTGCAAAATACTTTACATGTGAGGGAATACCCATCGCCATTTGAATAAAACTTTAAAACCATCCTGGAACGAAAATTCACGTTCTTATGGGTCGTCCCAATCAGTCTGTAGGATGTTTTCAAAACAAATTTTTTCGGTGGGATATGATGTCGGGGTATTGACTAGTCTTGACTCTTCCGTCTGTCTCAATAGGCATGCATATTGTGACAGATGTGGCATTCAGATCAACACATATTAGGTGTGTCACACAACATTAGAAATGATGAAACGGTCATTAAGAAATCATTGATTCGCCTTCGTCAGTCGCGGCTCCGCGCTTTTCGGTGGAGTCTGAGAGATCAACTTTCCGACGTGATGTGCGAGCCTTTCTTATTTCATCTCGAGGCAATGAGAAAAAACAGTGGGCAGTGAAAAATTAAAGCGAGAAAAATGGTAATGGGAGCTTTTTGTGCGACTCAAAATTATATTATGGGCGGCTGCAAAGGAGTTTCTTTATATTTTCCGCAGGGAGTCATTCCATACGAACTCAACGAGGCATTGGAATTTCCTCATTTTTGGTCATCCTTGGAGCATTATGTTCCCGGTTAGGAGAAAATTGCATGCTTAACATACGTTTCCGATTTGACACGATTGCAGAGAGGTTGCAAAATGAAAAGCAGAATCTACGTCTTGAGACTATCGGACACAATAAGAAGATGGAACTCTTCATATCTGAGGCTTCTGTCCAATCGGATCTCAATGGGACCAACATGAAGTCATGGCTTAATTTTTTGTCCTCACGGATGAGACAATTAGAGCTATGTTCTATTTAGACTGCAATTACAATTGAATCGCCACGATCACTGTCGGTTATCACGGTACCGTCGCAACGTTGTTTGCTCCCTTCCTCGCTGGGGACGGCCTGCACTGCGACTGTGATGGCATCCCAACTTCACGCTGCACTAGCGCCGACAGCCGGTCTAGGAGAGAAATATGCCATATACATGGAGTGAGGCGGGAGTCCTATCTTTCCCTTCCTTGTAACCCGTGGAGCCAATTCCACGCAAAAATGTGAAATGATCAAAGATCATCGAATGTCGTTGGACTGACTGGACGGAGATGACTCGCGCCGATGACGATTTAGAAGCCATCTCAATTGAACTCTGGAAACTTCTTGTTTTTTTAATTGCGATCTGAAAATCTGAAACGATCTGAAACAATCTGAAAAATGTTTTATGCCAGAGATCATCAATAAGCATTACGTCATCATGTATCGCATTATAAACATTGATGATATACATCCTACTTCCTGGAATTTTACAGGGAAGTGAAACATATTTTCAAGAAAGTAAGATTTTGTATTGCAACGCTGGTGAATTCGAAGACTTACAAGTTTGTTACTAGTCGCAGGTAAACCTGCTGCAAACCAGAGGTAAACGAAATGCCCTGTTGCGGAAGGAGTCACCATGATCTCCAGAGACTACCACCCTAGTAGCACCCGAACGTGTTCAATCAACGTTTAATTCAAGTCATTGCCAGCGTTCCATTAACGTCCTTAGGAACGTTCTATTGCCTACATGCTAAAAATTCAAAGCAATGAAAAAAGTTCAATGCGTTCCCTGAACTACGTGAATTTGATATTTCCATGGAAAGGGTTCAGTAAAACCCAAGGAGATGGGAGGAGAGTTCGGAAGACATAAGGGACGAAAAGAAAATGATGAAAGGGGCGGGAATCGAATCCAGATCCTCCAGGTTGTCGATCGAGTTTGCTACCACTACACCACCAAACCCAAGAACCTGAGTTAATTCTCTCCATACCATCCCCAACATAACAGGAGAGTGAGGCATTCTACACAAATCTCCCGCTCACTACTTTGAGGGGCACGATACGGATTTTTCCGCTGGTACATGTTAAACGTCCCCGCGTATTACACTTTGAAACCTCTTTCATCCCTGGAAGAAGACTTCCTCTCCGGTATATCTCTGCCCATATATTTATCGGGATTCCCACCGCTTCATCAATCGAAACCCCATCCTCTTATTACTCACAAGGAGAGTGACACCCGAGGGTGAACACGGCGGGATCCCACCTGTATGGCACAAGAGGGCTTACTCTTGGATCGGAAAGACGACTTCGGCGGCGTCGTAACCATCTCGTTTCTCTATCTCCAATTTCTCGAGTGGGTCTAAAGTTCCAGGCCTGCCTTTGATGATATTGCTGTGCCTACGAATGTGATAACGTCACGCCACCCTTGCATCATCACAGTCGACCAATTTTATACCTGGTGTGAGGCATGAAGTGACACGAACTTTACTTCGTTTGACGAAGTGAGCGTTCAAAGGCAAACATAAGCGATAGAAGACGAAGGGCGACCACTTTGTGCACGTGTTGGCTGGTCTTGGCAGTGCATGCATCCGTATTCTGTAGGACTGCTCCAATGATCCCTTGGTACATTCTCCTTCACTCCGCCAATGCGTACCGTAGACCTGCTTTAAATTTTATGTATCACTTCGCACGTGAATCGCGACATTTTCCAGACCAATTCGCAATCGCTCTTTACAGCCATTAGCCTAAATTGAAGCATGATACTTATTTCAATTGCAGCACGCATGCCTATACTGTTCCTATGGGTACACCATATCCAGTTATTTCTTAGCTCAGTGGCTCTCCCATAGCCATAGTAACACATACGAACAGGTACACGCAACGGACATGAGGCCATTAACGTTCGGAAGCTTGCGCAGCTGGTTGCAATTTGAGTTGCATGGCGCCGTCAATAAAAGCCCACATAACACATCGTTCAACGGGGCGACGATTGGTAACGCTATGATCTTTGGGTTAGCCTTCGTCTTCGATCGGCGTCGGTTCCCCGTCCTTCGTAATGACGATTAATGAAACGCAGGGGTAGACCGAGAAAGTAGGGATGCTTTTGTTGCGTCCTGTCTTCTTACATGGCCAGCCAAGGGGGCGGGAGTGTGGGGACCGCCTCCATTGGCCATGTGCACATTTATCGCCTTTAGATACTTCCGTGCTTTTTGCACGGTCTACCTACTTGTATGTATAAAGCCTGCAGGTCTCATCGAATCTTCGGCACTCGATCAGTGAATGGAGCGAAGGAGGCGAATGCGAATGGAGTTGAAGAAAAATAGATCACCCCTATTTCATCATGGATGCTTAAAGTCCTTGGAATTCCTGCAGCTGGGAGGAGGCACCACGTTCAGCGATGTCTCCGTTCCCTTGCGAATATAGCGGCAACTCTCGTCTCCTCGTTCTTCCGAGAGATGGCGAGACGAGAGCGAATCTCCGATTTTCCATGAAAGTTGCATCCCCTCCTTTTCCTGTGGCCAATTGGAAATTTCATTTCTCAAAGGCACATCCTCGAATGATAAGGAAGAGTTCTGTCGAAACTATATGTTCATATCTCTAAGCGTTTGGCCTGTGGAACTGTCACATGCACACGCAAACACAATTCCCAGGAGAAAATGTTCTATAGAATTTCTATACAAAGTGCCTATAGAGATTCTATAGAGACTTTGTAGAAAAATCTACCATATTTCTATAAAATTTCCATAGAATAATTCTATAGAGATTCTAAAGAATCTCAATATAGGGAGCTGAAAGAGATCACACAGAGACTTTTGGTAGTCTTAGGATTTCCTTAGGGCAATACTTCACAGATCTATTTCCACTCTGCTGAAGTCCTGTGGGACTACCTAATCCATGATTTCTCTAGATATAATCATTTTACTTGCTTTGAGATTATGCAAACCATCTACAAGAAGCACAACAATCTGGGTATAAAAAATTAACAATGATATTGATAGGGTGCTTCTCCAATTAAGGAAAACTTAAAATGACATGATCTCTTTACAATTAAAATGCATACCTCAAGTGGATTGCATAAATTTATAATTAGTTATTCAATATAAAAATTACCATTTGAAATTGTTAGAATTTTACATGATATCTGTAAAATACGAACATGTACT